TACATATGTAGGATATATTAATATTAGTAGCATCTCGATCGCCTATCTTTTCAAACTTTTAATATTCCTGATTCTTATTTCATTGTATTTGATGTAAAAAAGAATATCGTATGTATTAAAATTGGAAAAAATATTTTAAATAAGATTATGAAATTAAGTAATTAAAATTTTTATTACTTTTAACCGGGTGATTGCATTCAATATTTTTGATGGGTTTTCTTTAACTCACATTGTAACTTTGTCTGGTTCAAAACTTTAAAAGCTTTTTTCTCACATTTTAAAGCGCACAATTTAGCTGAAATTTTCTGTGCACGATTGTTTCGGATGACAATGCGATAATTTAACTGAAATTAAAAATTAATTGATTAAAATTAATTATTAAAAGAGTTAAATTTTACGTCAAGTTTCTCGCCAAGTCGCCAAATTCATCGTTTGCTTTCATTTTAATTACATGCAGCTGACATAATATTCAATTTTGATAATTATCGTTTGCTTTAATATTAATTACATTGAACTTAAATATATTCAATTTAATAACATAATTTATCATTTGCTTTAATTTTAATTTCATGCAGTTTAATTGATTAACATAAAGTTTAATCGAGCTCAAAAGCTTTATATGTATTTATTTTAGATGATAAATTTAGTAAACGTCAAATAATAAAAAAAATTTATTAAAATTAATTATTGTATAAATTCAGTTTGATTCAACGTTCCCTTTTGTTCTTAAAATTTAAGGTATAAAAAATTATGTTACTCAAAGTGTGAAGTTTGAAAGAAAGCCCATGTACAAGAAACTCGTTATTTTACCGGTGTTATTTATTGATCAAAATGATTCAAAAACTATATTACAACAGTAGGTTGCCGTTAACTCAGGATAGTCGAGGTCCACACACACACACATGACTATTCAACCTCGAGTAACATTACTGATATAAATTGAGCAATAATATCAATTCCAAAATCGATATGAATTTTCTACATTACGTTTACACTTACATTAAATCATCTGCTACGCCTTTTGTTTCGGAATTCAGTGACGTAGCGTCTAGTTATGAAGGGGAAAAATAATTGATTGTTGCTTTTATCGTCACTGATTGTTAATTTGCTCGATTTTCTTAGGTCAGATCGTAAAATTAAAAGCTGAAATAGTAAATAAATGCAAAGATAATCCAAAAAAGTAGGTATCATTAATAAAATATTTTGTTATTTTTTGTAAATGTCAGCACTCGGAGAGAGTTTTTTAAATGATTGCAAACATTTTTGGAAAAAGTTTAAATGTCGCTGTATGTATAAGTTTGCATGGTAACTTCATTTAATTTGTTATTGTTTTACTAAAGAACTTAATTTTTAGATAAATTTTATATGTATTTTAATTTTCTTAACTGTGGTGGTGACAGAACTCATCAAGCAACACTTTTCATTAATTTAAGTATGAAAAATTTAATTTTTAGCCTTCTAAGGGGCTATTGTTTTAGGTAAGGCGTTTTGGGGAACCAGATAACTTTCCAATTTTTTTTATCGTTTGCTTCAATTTTAGTACATTTAGCTTAAATGTATTCAATTTAATAATTTATCGTTTGCTTTAATTTTAATTACATGTAGCTTATATAATATTTAATTTAATAATTTATCGTTTCCTTTATTTTTAATATCGGAAAAGTTTATTTTTATTTATTTCTCGTTATTTCACCGTTTGCTTCAATTATTATATTTAATTGAGTAATTTAACAATAATTATTTTAAAAAAATGCTCTCCTTGGCTTGCTAAATTTATTTTTTATAAAACTTTGCATAGAACTTTTTAAAATTTGTTTTCTCTAAGCAATGCAAAATAAAAGTAAACTTTGAATTTGAACATTAGACTGATTTAAAAAATATAAAAAAATTCTTAAGAAAAAAACCCATCACAGTTGATTTTAGAGCGAAGAACTAGGTCCCCTTTCATTGCGAATATAACATTCATGAAATTCAAATTTTATTCATTTTTCGTTTTCTGATATATTCAACTCACCTACTCAACCGGCACAAGTGTCCCGCAAAGGCGGAATGTTTGACAATTTTTATATTAAGAAAAGGCATACATAGAATTTTCTTTTTGAAAATTTAAAAAGAAATCAATTTTTTGTTAGATAATTTCGTTTTCTATTGATACTTATTTATTTTTTACTACTAATTACAAAAAAAAAAAAAGTTCACGGCTGTTTTTTTTCTTCAAGTATCATGGAATTTTTTTTATACAAGTATATGTTTAAAATACATTTCCTGATTTACATTTTTTTTAGAAAAATTAAATAACCAAGCCTATCAGAGAATAAATGAAAAAGAAAATTTTTTGAATGATTTAAAAAGTTCTTAAATTTCCTGATTTTCAATTCTATGGTAGTCTCTGTTGTTTTTTAGATTGTTATTGATAGTTTTCTATTGTTAAAAATAATATTTCTAATAGTAGTTGGGATTGAAGACAAATGTCTAGTCAGTTTAGATGTTATCAGTGTATTAATTCAATAACTATCTAATTCTTTAAAGATATTATTTAAAACAATAGTTTAAAAAATATATTTTATGTTATTCTCCACTCTTTTTTTCTCGTGAAAACTTCGGAAGCGGAAGGAAAATTCAGATTCAAATGAAACTGTTTCCTCAAAAACCTCAGGTGCAACACATATTAACTTTAATTACAAAAGGAAAATCCGAAAAATAAAAATTTTTCATCGGCGGATTAATTTTTTCGTTCGTTAATCTTACTTATAATACCACGATTTTTCAAAACAATCGCTCCATTTGGTTGGAATGCTAGAGAATGAACAAGTTCTGTCATTTAGTTGTAAGATGACAGATATGCTCAACAAAAAACTTTTCCATGGAACTTATTGAGATCTAGACTAAATATATAAGCTATTATTTAACATAGAAAATTAAAATAGTTTCCTTAGAATATGAATTAAATGGATAATTTTGAATGCAGGGGATGTTTCAACAATCTGTTTAAAAATGGAAAATCTAAAGCTCGATGCATTTATTGGTCACCATAACTAAGAAGCTGACGTAAATATTCAGCTCCGGAATTCTTTTCATCTTAAAACGTCAAGAAACCGTCTGCTTCCTGAAAGTATTGTTATTTATTAACAAGATGAGAATTTTGGAAAGTTTTTGTTTGTTTTTATTTGGATCATATGTTAAGTCTATGGCACTCGAAAGCAATGAAACAGTTTCTCTTGTAAGAAGACGACGCAGTTTGGGTAAGTGAAGTTTTCGTTCTTCAATAATAATAATAACAAAAATATTACTGACTATTTTTCAAAGTAAAGTGTGAAATGCACGTGACTTGTTAGCCACCCAAGGGGCTTTTTTTTGGGGGGGGGGCGCTTTGGTGTACCAGATCACTTTTCAGTTTAATATATTCAATTTAATAATTTTTCGTTTGCTTTAATTTTTATTACATGTAGCTGATAAATATTCCATTTAATAACCTATCGCTTGTCTTAATTTTAATTACATGTAGCTGATCTAATATCAATTTGATAATTTATCGATTGCTTTAATTTTAATTACATTTACCTTAAATACATTCATTTTAATGATTTATCGTTTCCTTTAATTTTTCTTTCGGAAAAGTTTACTATTATCCATTTCTCGATATTTCATTGTTTACTTCAATGCTTATATTTAATTGAGTAATTTAATAATAATTATAAAAATAAAAGCGCACCTTCGGTGGCTAAACCTGCTCTTTCCAAAACTTTGCATATAATTTTTTTTTGACTTAATCTTTTGTTTATTTTCATTTTATGGCAACAATAATTACATTTAACTAAAAATATATTCAAATAAATTATTACCGTTTGCTTTAATTTTATTACATTCAACTTAATATATAATTTTCATGTTAATAATATATTGTTTTCTTAAATTTAATTACATTTTGCACAACATAATTTAATTTAGTAATTTATCTTTTGCCTTAATTCCAATGCTAAATTGAATAGCTGAATGATTATTTTTTTGAAAAGTAAGTACACTTTGGTAGGGAAACCTGTTTTTTGCAAAATTTTGCAAAGAACAGGTTTAAATTATTGTTTAATTTGTTTTAAGCTTTTATTTAAATTTTTAATTGTTAGTGATTCACATCGATTTAAATTAAGTTTCCCCTCTCCAATTTCATCATTAGTCTCGAAAAGAAAAAGTTTATCTTTCTGCAGAATTTAGAAGTATACCATTTATAAGCCTTAGTTTGGTATTATTTCATTTATCCGAAACATTTATCAAATAAAAAGTTCAAGCACTAAGTCTATCTTACTTACAGATATTAAATTCTCAGATTTTTTTTTTATATATGTATTTTATCATGAGTTTCAAAGGTTAATCACATAACTGAATGAGAACGTCTCACCAAAATGGAGATTTTAACTTTCAGCAACGGAACCATTATAAATTGTATTTTTTCATTTCCTTTCGTTACCGCAATAGGACCCACAAAAACAAAAATGTTTATTGAACTATTTTACAATTAATTCATTCAAATCTTAACAACAGTGCTTGCAAATAAATTTGTTTAAGTAATTTTTCATAAAACAGCACAATTTATGTATGTTAATCAGTTTATTATTGTATAATTTTCAGTTATATGTAAGTTCATTTAAAAAAATTGGATGCCCTTGTCTATCTGACTCATAGATCCGCTTAACTTAGCCAATACACGTTACAAAGTCGAATTATAGTCAATCGACGAGTTTTTTAGTTTAGTTTTTTTAGCGTCGCACTAGAAGCAATACGAGGGCTATTGGTGAAGCTAAATTTAGTTGTCTTTTATTAACATCGCACTAGAAGCAACACGAGGATTATTGGCGACGAACCTCCTAATTTTGAACCATGGTCAAGTGACGAGGACAACACCTGAGCTGGCACCCCCTCTCCTAACTTCCACAACACACCAACAGGAGGACTTTGGGCCCCGAACAGATTTAACGTGCATCAGCCCCGGCTACACGGCGGGTCTTTGGTGGGCAAGGATCGAACTCGCGATTGAATGAAAACCGCCGGCCACGAATCCGAAACCTTGACCACTAGGCTACCGCGGCCACAATCAATCCACGAGATCGATATTTTGGCTGATTGCTTAAGAAGAGTATGAAGGGTACTGGCGACGGACTTCGTCATTTTGAACTTTGGTCAAGTGACGCGGATGACACCTGAGCTCTCTCTTCAAACTAGTCAACTTAAAGAATTAACGTGCATCAGTCCCACGACATGGTGGGTCTTTAGTAGCATCAGACGAGACCGACAACTAAACTATTATTGTATACAAGGGATCTTCGCTCGCCAAGGCTAGGAACATAATTTCAGGTTTTCTGTCTTACTCGTTTTTTTTAAGTCACGGTCAGCAAAGGAGGTCGACATCCGAGCCAGAACCACACTCTCCTATTCCACATAGAGGATTTCGAACACCTGTATTTTTAATGGGCATCATTTATTTGCCTTGGTTCGGAATAGTGGAATCAGGATGCTATCGTGCGGCAGAAATATCGTTGCCTCGGTAGCCTAGAGGTCATGGCTTTGGATTCGTGGCTGGCGGTTTTCATTCAGTCGCGGGTTCGATATTTAGCCGTTGAAGACCCACTGTGTTGCCGGGGCTGATGCACGTTAAATCTATCGGGGCCCAAATTCCTCCCGTTGGCGTGGTGTGGAAGTTAGGAGAGAGGAGTGCCAGCTCAGGTGTCGTCCTCGTCACTTGATCGTAGTTCAAAATTACGAGGTCCGCCGCCAATAGCCCTCTGCATGTAGCTATAATTGTATGACTTGTATATATGTTCACACCTTTGCCTAACACTTCATTTTTGTTTAAGAAATTTGTGGACGTTTTTGTATTGTGATTTAACCTGTTGTGTATCTTATTTCTGCAAGAAAATTTCAACTGTTTCTTGTGTTTCTGTCATGTATATTTTTTGTTGTGCAAATACCTTGTACATTTTATTTAACCTTTATTTCAAAATTATGCAAATCTTATATTATTTTGTAAATAAATGCTGAGTGCGAGGGTGATTGTTTCCCGGAGGGCCGGTTTGCAGCTCTAAACCCTTTGGGTGAGCTCGGTCCCCTTGGGTATTCTGCCAATAGCCCTCGTGTTGCTTCTAGAACGACGTTAATAAAAAACTAAACTCCGTCTAGTCTTGGGCTCGAGCCCGATGCCATGACCACTCGGATACTGCGGCCACTCTATTCCTGACATATTCATCACGTCTTCCTGATAACTTTCAACAATGAAGGAGCACTGTATTTAATTAAGTCGTATGCTGGTGGAATAATTTGGAATTTACTGAAGCAGAGACAGTTGCCCCTCTCGACATGTAATTTGTCTATCAAACAAAATACCCTATTTTTTTTTATTATTAATTAAAAAGTCGCTATTAAGGCTCCCGTCTACTAGCCATTTTGATTTCGTGAACGTAATGTTAATCCTATGGAATTCCTACTACCGTTCTCAATTCTATACTATTTTATCTCTTTGAGTTTATTAGTTTTTGGGTTGTCTGGTCTTAAATATTTTTAAAAATCGGAGAGGAAATGTAATTCCGAGGAAATCTTCATTATTTTTTTCTTTCTCGGATACACTTTTTGGTATTGATTTAAGGACGGTTGTAGAAATTCTATAAGGTTAACATTTCGTGAATGTAATGTTAACCCTATTGAATTTCTAATTTTCTTCCCAATTCTTGATTATCTTATCTATTTGGATGCAAACAAATGCATTCGAAAGAACAAAAATTAATGAACATTTCTGCGGAATTTCATTTTCCCTCAGATTTTTGAAAATAGTTGACAAAGATCACAAAACCCACAAACGAATCATTAATATAAAAGTAAAAATATTTTTAAGAATATGAGAAAAACTGCAATTCCTTAAAAATCTTAATCGTTTTTGTTTTGTTTTGTTTTGTTTTGTTCTTTCGTTGTATTCAAATAAATAAAATAGTCTTGATTGAGATCGTAGAAGAAATTTCTTAGGATTAACATTACGGCCACGAAATCAAAATGGCCGATAGACGGGACCCTTAAGGCTCCCGTCTACACTCCATTTTGATTTTGTGGACTAATGTTAATCATATGGAATTTTGACTTCAATTCTCACACCTTTATTATTTGATCTATTTGAATACAATAAAGTGCATTTGAAAGAGCAAAAAATAATAAATGCTTCTTTGAAATTACTTTTTTTTTTTATGATTTTTAAAAATATTTTTATTCTTATTTTAATTATTCGTTTTTGAGTTTTCCGGTCTTTAAAGAATATTTTCAAATATATTTAAAAATCGGCGAGAAAAAGTAATTCCACAGAAGCATTCATTATTTTTTGCTCTTTCATATGCATTTTATTGCATTCAAATAGATCAAATTCCATAGGAAATTCCATAGGATTAACAATAAGCTAATTAAATCAAAATGGCCGGTAGACGGGAGCCTTAAAAAAGGCTTATTTATTTCTAGGTAGGCCTTAGATCAAAAATAAGAAAGGTTCTGGAGAAAAATTCAGTGCAGTAAATGTTATCTCGATGAATGGAAATTTTAGCTCTTTTATTTTACAATAGTGGGCAAAACTTATTCAAATTTTAAATTGTGCCATAATTCCGAAAAAAGTCAAGTCGACTAAAAGAAAATTCACACCACAGAGTCACAATGTTGCAGTTAAAGGTTGATGAAATAATAGTAGCTAAAAAAAATTAATTGTACGCATACATTACAGAACAAAGCTGAGAAATGCTTTATTGTCAGAACAACGTTGGTAAAAAAACTTTGTTTAGCCATGAGGAAGGACAACAAACCAAAGTCTATGACCTACCCTAACTGTAATGGTTGCATGACATCGTCTGTTCAGACTCAATACCAAATTATTCGTCAGATCTTGAGGCAAGAGTTGTCTATTTTCAAGAAACATCTGTCTTAGAAGTCTGGTGTTCTCCGAAGATAGAATCCTGCTGCCAGGTATCTCCCCAAAACATCCCTTGCATGTTAGAGGGGACTTAAATGAGGGGAGCATGCTGAACAATCCAATCTGCAGATATCCTCATTTTCTAGAAGCTCCTCAACAGCAGAAGTCCTATGTGGAGTTGCATTATCTTCCACGAAAATAAAGTATAGACCAATGACATTTCGGAACACACGCATCTGAGAGAGAATAACTTCAACGCAATAACGATCCCCAGTAATTGAGCGGCAGTCGAAAATAAAGCTCTCTTTTCGTCCATTAAACATAATATCTCCCCACAAAAGCACTCCAGGATCACCCCAACGATTTCTTACCTTGATGTTAGAGGGTAAGAGACCGTGCTCCTATCTTCCTCCATATCAACTGGAGCTGAGAATCGTTGCTCATACTGAAGCGTGCCTCTCTTCAGCAAACAGAACGTGACTGCATTGATAGGATTCCAGTTTTTGTGCTCTTGACAGTACTACAAACGGTGTAGCCGATGAGCTGTTGTTAATGGAATGCAGCGTTTAAGATGACGAGTAGATAGGCCATCTTTATGTAGAAGTCTGGCCGTGAAACCGTGATACCTGCAATCCGGTATCCGAGCTGCTGAGCAGTGTTGCCCGATGTCTGGTTCCGGTTCTTTTTTGCATGCAGATCGATATACCGGTCATCACTTGCTATTGGTTTCCTCAGCTGATTACCGCCAACCTTTCTTACAGTTATACTGTGCATCACTCGTCAAACTACGCCCCGCTTCAAACTTGTCGATCATTCTACCATGTGAAAGGCATCCTGATAGTATCTCGCAGCCGTTATCAAAGTACAATTTCGCTTCTACTGGCAGGGAAATCCTAGAAATGCGTCCTTCCTCCTTTTTTTTAAATTACCCAAGCCTTAAGCGAGTGCATTTCACGCGTTTGAGAGCCGTGACGTCCCCTATGATGTCATAGTGTTGGTATTTTCATATGCATTATCTTTCTACTGAGCTGCTGGTCACAAAAATCCCTTTTCAACAATTCAATGGTTGTATGTTGAAAAAAGCTTTTGTTGCCTAAGTTTCTCAATCTAGTGTGTATACGAAACAACAACACGTGACCGGAATGTTTAAAAATCCAGTAATTTAAAAGCAAATTCGTACCTTGATGAGTGCTTTTACTGTTTTCCTCTGGCTTTGTAAATTCATTTGGCTAAACAATTATTTGTACATTTTATTTTCTTAAACTATAAAGTCATATAAAAGAATTCAGCGAACAATATAATACATTAATATACTATAATAACATAAAGGCAAAACAGAATAAAAATATTTTTTTTAACATTCTGACAGTCAAACATACACAAAACAAAAGGCAAAAAAGTATTTTTACACTTCATTAGTTTGCTATAATTAAGTAAAACTGAGTTAATACAAATTAATACTTTGTATGAAATCCTTTATAGCTTTAATGAACACTTAAAGACATTGTGATTAGATTCCACTATCTTTTTTGTGGCAATTGGGTCTATGTTATTCCATACTTTAAAGAGAACTTCTTTCAAGCTATTTTTTAATTGTGAAAATGTTTCATTTGAATTTTTACATCCAATAGTATCCATAAATTTTCTATTGGATTTAGATGGGGATCAGATGACGGTCACTTTCATGCATGGTAAAGCAATCATGTCCCGGTGACCGCAACAACTTGTTTTGGGTCGTTATCCTGCTGAAAGTGAACAAAAAAATTGTTCTAAGTAAACTTTCTGAGCATTGCTTGACAAATTATGCTGCAGCACATCAATATAAGTTAAAGCTGGCATTGTAGTTCAATAAAACCCGAATTTCCTCTTCTATTAGAAGCCATACAACCCTCAATCAGTAATATTTCTTCCAATATGCTTGAAAGTTGAGTGTACATGTTTTGGCTCCAAAGCAGTTTTATTTTACGCCTAATGTTTCGAATGCTTAATGGGGAGAAAATTGAAAATTACTCTTAGAAAAAAAAATTTCTGTTTTCCAAAATTCCGTTGGTCTTTATTTGTGGACTAAAGCAAATTCCAGGCGTTTCTCAAGTTTGCTTCACTTATAAATGGCTTTTCATTCAAGTTCTTCCTTTTAATCTGCAATACGGA